AATTCAGTTTGCAGTGGGCAAGAGCTTCCCCACATGGCAGGAAAGAGCAGAAGCCATACAGGAAACCAGAAAATCCTATGTTTCAAATACGGCAATAAACTACCAGTGGCACTAGATTAAAACTATGAATTCCAATTTCAATAAATATTTTAAAGTAAATTTTAAGACTTTTAGAAGCATAATAATTGCCTCTAGGAACAAGTATATTTTTAATCAGCCACACAGAAAAAAGAAAAGGAGAGAGATGATTTAGAGCAGCCAAATTCTGTCACATTGGTTCCTGTGTGTTGCCTAGAGGCTATGAGAAGTTAATAAATCATAATAATTTGGTACAACCACTATGAAAAAAGATGCAAGAAGCCAAATTCTGGCAGAGAATTACTACTTTCCTCCCAGCACACAGAGCAATGTTCCAACACACTGAAAAACAGGCTGGATATCAGGATGTGAATTCTGTTCAAAAGGAAACTTCTAAGTAAAGCTTTTCTAATTCACAGAGAAGATTCTGACTGAAATAACAAATGCCCACTAGCTATGCAATGCTGCAACACTACGATGATACAGCCTTCCTCCTCAAGGAAAAATGAAAGCTCTTGAAATACTTTTTGGCAGTTCAAGAAGAGTATAGGTACATACCTCAAGTACATATGCTCTCATTCATAAAGAGATGGTAAACTGATTTTGTACTTAAAATATTCTGAGAGTTTTGTTTACTCTGAAAAAGGCATCTCCCTCAATTCTTCCCAAAGTTCTCTCACACTTCTAAGTTTGCCTTTCTCCAAGACTAGGTAATTGCTTAACACCTTTTGATAGTTAATTTGCTAACCTTAAAAAACATCTCATTTCTGAGTCTATGAAAAGATTACTGTCAGGCTACTCTTTTACTACAGAATTTTCTAGACATTCTCACTGGAAGAGGCTTGACAGCTCCATCACACTCCCATCTTGTAATTTCTGGGCCAGTCATTAATACTCACATGGACAAAAGTATGACTGAGTTTACCTGTCTGTTACCTCAGCACCTCCTTTTGGATTGTTCTTTCTCTGACATATGTCCTTCAGGCAAGTAGGATTTACAAAAAGAAGAAAAAGAAGCTAGAACAAGAGGAACAGAGTTCATCCTCCACACTTCCTAGAAGTAGCTGACATTTGGAGCATTTTTACTCCGTGTTAAATTCTGTCTGTAAATCAGAAACACAGGTCTCAGCCAGCAAGCTTGGCAATTGGCCCTAAGCAGAGATTATTTAGTTGAACTTCAGCTGTCCAGGCATCCAACAAATACAACTGTTCATTTCCAAGTCTTTTATGAATTAATAGGCACAATTTCTACAACATGACTGCATTGGCAGTGTTTCCTCTGCTGAGACAAAAATAAGAGAAAGAGTAAGGATACCAAACACTGCACAGACTTATTTGGCCCTGTTTCTATTAACAAGCAACTTAAAGCTTTTGAACAGTACAGTGGAAGTCTACAAGGTTTATAAACACACAAATCAAATAACTGTGAAGAGTTCCGCTACCACTTCCTAATACATGCCCTCATATAATCTTAGTTTTATAAAAATGTTATGAGCCAGAAATTAGTAGACATGGACAGATAAA